GGAACGGTGGAATGATTTAAGGGTAGACTTGTGGCTCAGGGAAATCGACAAGAGCATGGTCTGGACTATGAAGAAACCTTCAGTCCAGTGATGAAGCTCCCCACAATTCAAGTACTCTTTACTGTTACTCTACACCATGGGTGGCCTGTGCAGCAATTAGATGTCACGAATGCTTTTCTACATGGTAGCTTGAACAAAACTGTCTTCATGCGACAACCCAAAGGATTTTAAGACAATGTATATCCCGATCACGTTTTCTGTTTAAAGAAAGCCATCTAGAGGCTCAAGCAGGCTCCGCAGTAATGGTACACTACGTTTATAAATCACCTTATCAATATTGGGTTTCAGCACAGTAAGGCAGATCCGTCTCTTCTGCTCTATCGTCGGAATAACATCTAGCTATTTCTTCTGGTGTACATAGACGATATTCTCATCACTGGTAATGACAATATGGCAATTTCTGATCTTCTTCACAAACTACATTCTCAATTCACAATGAAACATTTAGGAACTGCCAGCCGTTTTCTCAGTATACATATCCAATCATCAACAAATAAGTACTTTCTCTCTCAGCAATCTTATGCTCAATCTCAGCTTCAACAAACCAATCTAGCTAAATGTATTTCCCTCTCTAATCCTTCATTTATGAAACAGCCGACCCAATTCAGCATGGAGAACACAATCACTGACGCTACAACCTATCGGCGTATCACAGGAGCTCTTCAGTACCTTACCATCACGCACCCTGATATAGCTCACTCCGTTAAACACGCTTTCACAACATATGCACGATCTAGAACCTATTCACCTTCATCTAATCAAGAGGTTACTTCGGTATATCAAAGGGTCAATTAACTTCGGCTTACCTATAACCACATCCTCTCTTTAACTCCAAACTTTCTCAGACGCAGACTTGGCAGGTGACCCCATCACCTTCAAATCAACATATGGGTTCTATACATTTCTCGGCGACAACCTTGTATCCTGGATGGTGAAAAAACAAACGACGGTATCATGGTTGTCCACCGAGTTGGAATACGGGGCATTGGCTGCCGCTACCACGGATACAAAATTGTTGAAGCATCTACTCACCGACTTCAACATTCAGCATGACAATCCAGTCGCTGTATTTTGCGACAACACATCGACGATTGCACTAACAAACAACCCAGTGTTTCACGCGCTTACGAAACACATTTAGATCAATCAGCGATTCATTCGAGATCACCTTCAACACAAGTAATCAGCTTGTTACCGATCATCATCGTGGATCAAATCACTGATATCTTCACCAAGTCATTACCAACTCTTCGCTTCAAACAGCTGCGCTCCAAACTGACGATCAGGGAAGAATCTTCATTTTGCGGGGAGATGTTAACACATAATTAACCATACTTAGTTCTAATACTATGTAAACCTTATTACTAGCATCCAATAGGATTATTACATGTGTAAAGTGTATTCCTCTCAGCCTATTAATAGGCACCTGTACCTAGTTTGTATCATCCAATGAAATACATTTAGATCTCTCTCACTCTCTCTCTTGTCTTATTCTCTGACTTCGTCCCAATGTCCGGCGACCTTCACCGGAACAGTAATTTCTACAGTTACATCTTCAAATTAAACTCAATATAAAGTAATCTTACGTAAATTGGGAAAGCCTCACAGGCTAAGTAACTAATTACAGCATCAAATAAAACTCAAAATTAAATCTTCTCACTTACCTCAGAAGTTTCAATCCGCAAGAATAGAATTGTGTAAGCCTTGTCAGTTGTAATCTGCATAGCCAACTCAAAAGGAAAGAATAAAGCACAGGTAGCTATAAAACGAGCCCTCAATTCCTTATTCCCTCATTGATTTTGATAGAACTCCCATTTTTTCCTTTCTCCCCCACAAAACACGAATATGGCCTGTGCGCATTAAGAATGCGCCGCGCTGAATGATTCAGTGCATTCTAAATGCGCCATTTCGATTAGCACGTTACATTGAACGCGCCATTTTGTTCCCTTTCTTTGCACTGTTTTAAATTTTTTTTCTACCGTGCCCCTATTGCAAAGAGAATTATTCATCCAGTTTCTTCTTAAAATTAGTTTCTAACAATTTAATATTTAGTTGGAAGATAATGAATTAAATGTAAAGTAAAAATAGTGTTGATATATCATCAAAAATTTATCATGATCAGACTCGAATCTCGAGGCAAAATCAAGTTAAGCTTCTGAAAAATTCAGAGTCAAATGAACTCCTATCTCAACAAACTTATAGCCGACCTAAACATCTTGAAAAGACAAGCCCAATGACACCAAATTCGACTCAATCCGAGCCCAAATGGGAGAAAATGGAAGACCCGAACCACATTTGGAAGGTTCAAAACATAAATTGGATGACCAAACGGTTTCCAAACGTTATATGTTATAGTCAAATCGAGTGGCTCGATGATATGAATCCAATGAGCCCAAGATCTCCAAATTGTATCATCATTAAGACACTCAAATGCTCAATAATATGTGTATGATAAAGGGAATCAATATCGGCCATCCATAAAAACCACTCCAAAAGTATTATTTATCTCTTTCATATTTACTAGTCATGCCAATATCAGAAAACTATAAATAGTCCCCTCATTCTTCATTGAAGGAGAAAAATCTTGTGAAAACAAGGAAGAGAAAGAAGAAAATGAAGTGAGAGAAACTAAAGTTCTCTTGCCAACAGACTCCTCCTCGACCACCGTCGGACCACCTATCATCTCCAGACTCTTTTCAGACTTCGGCTATGTCATCGACTGACTCCGGACTAATGTCCAGCCACCAAATAACATTAGAATTTCACCAAGCTTCCAATTATTATTGGACTTTCACTCGGCCACCAACTAAGGCCAAATTTCTGCCCGACCACTGAGTAACATCAGACTTCCACTATCGCCCACCGACTATAGTCTTTTTAACCACTATCACTTGCCGATTATGGTCCTTATGAAATCTATCCTGGACAATGATCTTTCTGATCTCTATCGCCTACCACATACGGTCCTTCCGACCTCTGTCGCCAAATAACGATCTTTCTGACCATTGTCACCCGCCTATCATGGTCTTTCCAACCTCTATCACCAGACAACACTCCTTCCAACCTTCGTCTCCAGACTACGATTCTTATGACTTCTGTCAGCAGACAATATTCTTTTTGACAATTGTCATCGAGTTGAATTAGATCCTTACTATCTTCATCGTCAGACTACAGTAATTCAGACCTCTGTCTTCAAACAATGGTCTTTTTTATCATTATCACCTACTAACTACCATCCTTTCGACATCCGTCGTCTGCCAACTACGGTCCTTCCATCCTCTTTTGCTAGACTACGATTCTTTCTTCATCTGTCGCCTGACAACGATCTTTCTACCCACTATTCACTATCGCTCACTGACTATGGTCCTTCCGATCTCCGACCACAGACTACAATCCTTTTAACCTTCGTCGCCATACTACGATCTTTCCAACCTCTATCAGCGACCAACTATCGTCCTTTCGACCTTCGTTGCCATATAACAGCCTTTTCTTGTTTCGTCGTCTGCCGATTATGATCATTCCATCCTTCGTCGCCAGACTACTATCTTTCTTACCACTGTCACTAATTGACTATGATCTTTCTAACCTCCGTCATCAGACTACGGTCCTTTTGACCTCTATCGCTAGAAAAAGGTCTTTCCAACCATCGTTGCCCGTTGACTACGATCCTTTTGACCACCGTCGCCTAACTACAGTCTTTCTGACTTGTGTCTCCCGCCAACTGTGGTCCTTCTGACTAAACAAACATGTAAATACTAATTTTTCTAACTCCCACCATGTAATGCACTCTATATGATTTATAATTGCTACATCAAATTAAGGTCTTCCTTCAACGAAGGGCCTCATTTGTAATTGACTGCAAAAAGTAGTGGATTCATTCAAACTGGGACAAGCCCCATAAAGAATGTTAGTGTTTGTTATAAATATTACGCCCATTCCTTTTATTTGATTGTGTGTTGAATTTTCATACAAAACTAAGACATTAAACTTTCTATTTCTTTATCGTCACGAATATTCTAGGATTCAACAAGTGTAAAATATTCTAATTCAATTTTTGAGGTAATTAAAATTAGTACAATTTTGAGTGAGAAGGGTTTACACTACTAGTAAGTGTGTATGATCATTGTCAACCCCTCCAACCTCGATCAATCGCCGCCTCAGCTACTAAAATTGGTGGCCACCGCTGGCCTTCACCACCATCATCACCATCACCACCACCATCGAACACAACTGCCAGCCGCCTCCGGTCGCTGGCTAACACTGCCGCCACTCCATCGACAATCGTCACCACCACCACTGCCAGCACACGCTAACCACAATCAGCGCTAATCACACCACCACTACATTAGCCACCGCAGTCCGTCAGCTCTGCTAGCCATCACCAATGCCAGCCAATGTTGTCACCTATCGCAGCCCAACACCACTACCAATACCTCCCCTACTAGGGGTCACCATTTTTTGACTTTATATTATATTCATTACTTCAAATAACATATGAATTTATTTTACATTTATTCAAATAACTTAAAATTATTCTTTTACACTTAAATTTATTTTTAGCCGACCAACAAAATCATTGAGGCATAAGGATGCAATAAAAATACTATATATCACACGTTAGCCATAGAGGCTCCTCAAATTGACCTCTTAGGTTCTCACCAGTGGCAGGGACCATGGAAAGCAAACCAATGTCCTGGAGCAGAACAACAGCGTGCCAAGCTGGCGTACCATTCTAAAAAGCATTACACGTGAGGTGTGTTAAGCCAGTTCCATCCAAGCGACAAAACCGCAAGTCACCGTAGGGTTTGAATTGGTTCGGCATCGACACTGTCTCGGCCAAAACGCTACCAAGGTTCGCCATGAAGAGGAGCCACTTCGAGTCCGGACTGAAGCAGACATGGTTAATTCTCTCCCTATCGGCCTCATTTGACCTCGGTGGCCCGGCAACGTGTACCCGTCACAGGTTTGAGCCATCAGGTCGAACCAAATATATGCTGTAAGCCTTCGGATTAGACGGATTGTGCCGGTTAGATGAAAATGCGATCAGCTCGCCATCCGGCGACCACACTGGCATCGTATTGACCCACTCGCCCTCCGTTAGTTGCTGAATCCCACCACTATCGACAATTTCTCCGTCGATGGCATCGAGGATGTAGAGATTCTTGTGGCTGGATCACCCAAGATCGAAAAACAATGTGCTTCCCGTCCGGTGAGCACGATGGGAATGCATTGTTGGCGGTACCTCCACGGGTAAGGATCTTCACATCGGCATAGATTTCCTCCTTTTTTTCATCAAGATCGTCAGGATTAAAAGAGATCCGGGCAATCTGGACTGTGGCCTTGCTAGAATCAAAGATCGGGCCGATAGAGGTGAGGATAATGCCCTTCTCAACAGGACTCCATGTCGTGTAGAACGCAGTGGGAGATTTAAGCAGAGTCCACCATTTCAAACCGTCAGATCAGAGAACCATCAGGCCAGGGGATTCAAAGAAGTCACCGTTGATTGCGAGTAGATCACCGGCAGGGGAAAAAGATGGGAATGGGCCGTGAAGCCGAAGAAGCTGGAGCACTTGAATTGGAGAAGCCACGAGAAGGAGATTTAGTACCTTTTCATTCGATTCTCCTCTGAATCGATGGTATCTGAGCTGATTCGAGTCCTGTGAAAAAAATGGATTGTAGTGATGGTTATTAGGGTTTAATGTCTTTGTAATCGGATAGAATCATTCTGATTTGAGATCAAAAATCTCGATGTGGCGAAATTTAATCCCTTTCCTGCGCGTGCAACCGCTATATACTTCCCATCGTTCGATGCAGCGGGCGTGAAGGCGTGTAGCCCAGGCGGGGTAATACGACGAGCTATGTTTTCTTCGAGAATTTCATGTAGATCGATGCGGTAGACGCTCCACCTGCCATCGTCGGCCTTACGGTGGAAAAATATTGTTGATTCACCAGAAAAAGTCGGCCATCCGCCACTGCCGGCAATGATGGTCCAGTTTTCCAGTTTTGAGACACTAAAGATGGTGATCTCGATTTTGAGAGTGTGGAAATCACCTTTCCATGGCCGAGACCCATAGGATGTAACGGCGACGAGCTGGCCCAACTCCGAAACTGCTGGGCTGAAGTCGACAGATCCAATTGGGGTTAACCGAATAGCCTCCTCTGTGTCAAGCTGAGTCATGTAGACTGCGGCCCATGGGCGGAGACGTAGAACACGCGGCCGTTGTTAATGGTGGGCCGGTCGTGGAAAAGGCTATTTTGGTTTGTTGGGAGCAATTTGATTTCGTCTCCAGCCGAGGATGTCTGATAGAGTCTAGCGGAGCCGGTTCGCTCGGAGATGAAGGCAACAGTTTCGCTGGACTTATCGGCGAACTGAGCGTTGAAATTGACGGAGACGCCTCGGTACGACGGCTTTCTGTTATGTCTTCATTGGCGATATGGTCGGCGGCGAGGACAGTGGAAAAGACATCGAAGCCGTAGGTGAGCAATCCGAGGGTTGAGAAGATGATAGTTCCCTGGACATCCATTATAACGAAGGGTTGTTCAATATATGAAATCAGCTTACAACCACGGCGTTAAATATGGCCGCTCGGCTGCTCAAATAGTCTATCTCTTCTGGCTAGTTCTGACGTCTATCCTCCATTAAGAAATGAGAACTCGTGGTCAATTCGGTGCGATGCATTATGTATAGTTCGAATATTACCTAAGACTTAAGGGCTAAATTTTAAGGATAGGGTGCGAAATTGAAACAAAGCAAAAGGTACATATAATAATTTAAATTTAGTAAACAGTAAATCACCAAAATATATGGCACATTTATTGGAACTAGTAAAAATGTGCATTAAATGCATGTTATTAAAAATTTAAAAATAAAAATTCATATTATAAATATTTTAATTATATTATACAACAACAACAACAACATGAAGCATTTGTCCAACTACGTGCGGTCGTAATGTATTTGATAAGAGAAAATTCATTTGTGATTTTTTTAACATGATTGTAATTAATATGATACATTGTTATATTTATTTGAGATAAGTTTTGAAATTATTTATTTTTTATCTCAGCAATTTATATTTAAATTTTAAAATATAAAAAAAATATTTTATAAGTTTTATTTTTCTTTTTAAACAAAGAAGCAAGTATAACTATAATCCAATAAATATTCCAATAATTATTATAATCATAAATATTATAATTTGTAACCCTTAAAGAAAAATTTGAATAAATATTTCAATTTTTTGTGTTTAAATTTTTAGAGAGAAAAAAAAATTGTGTTTACATAGTTGCATAAAAAATAAATATTTTAATTAAAATTTTCCTTTGTTTTATGCACATACATTTTACTTCAATTACCATGCAGAAAAGTTACATTAAGTTGTAAAACTTTAATATGATCACATGTAATTAAGTTATAGTGCTTTGTAAATTTATATAAACTAATTGGTTTAATTTTATGAAATGCAAGAGTTTTTTTTATTAATAAATATGATATGACAAATTTTACTTCATTTTGCGTGAAAATTGTAAAAAATAATTCTGCTTAAAATACAAAATCTAAGAAATAGAATTAATATTTTTGTTTAATATTAAAATGCTTCAGTAAGAGAAAACATCAATGTGAGATGAAGAAAAAATCACTTCAACAAAAAGTTTAAGTAGTCATTTTAATCATATATTTGTATTATTTCTCAGTAAATTTGTTTTCCCACAAAAATTTCTCAATTGATGTAGATACAAAAAATTGCAATCATAAACTTGTGTATATTATTTCTATTTTATTAAGCAGAATTCACATTTTAATATAACTTTAAAGGGATTAGAAGTCTCATCATAATAAAAAAACTATTCCTTCTCCTCAATATTTTTCTCCATTTGTTTTTTTTTATTATATGTTCTTCTTTTTTTTTTGAGGAAAATGCAAATTGCATTAAAAATATATAAACTATTATAAACTACTATGTGATAGAAATTCTATCACAATCCTCCTTTAACAAAGAAACAAAGAAAGGATGAACTTTATTACAACTTAGATCATCCCAAAAAATCACCTAATAAAGCAAAGTTAGCACAAAAATCAACTAACTTATTTCAATTTTTATGTTTGAAATAAAATGAAATATTCCCAAAATCTTTCAAAAAGGAGAAATCTTCTGTCGTGTCAATGGCATTTAAACAAACTCCTTTTTAAATCGATCCTTGAAGATATTTGATGACATTGTAATTATCACCTTCAATAATAATCCCATTAGCTTATATTTTCCATTCTTGAAGGACCTTCTTCAATGATCTAAAATTCAGAAGTTCTAACAAACAATTATTCCAATGAATGGTTTTAACTCCATATGCAAGTAGAAACCATCCCTTAGAATCCTTGAAAATGCCAGTAAGACCGGCTTCATTAGACTTCAACAAACCCACATCAAACTTAAATTTGATACATCCGGTTGGAGGAGGGTGCCAAGATTGAAACAACAAATGCTGATTAACACCCCAGTAATCAAAATAGATATGTAATCTAGCTGAAATTGATGAAATGCTGAGAGCATTCGATGCAATATAATTTAATCCAAATTCTGTGGATCCATGCTGAATAGAATTTCTACTTTTCCATGAGAAGAACACCACTGTGCAATATAGATTAGCAATAAAAGGAATAGTAGAAGAAAGTAGCTCCAATTTATAAATACAATCCGTATAAAAAACAAAAGTTGGCACAAAAAATCCCCACTTATTAAGCAACTCAACGATAGAAATCAATTTTTCACAATTAACCATGATATGTTCTTGATTTTATGCCCCATAGCATCCTCTCTGACAAAGGCTACATTCCAACGGTTTTTTATGTCTTAGAAAATCCAACAAAGGCAATGCATTATTCAAAACTCTCCATAAAAAACAATCTACTCGAGGTGATAGATTTATTTTTTTCATCAATTTCCAATAATTATTTTGATCATTTAGCTCCACATTCACATTAGTTGCCATCCGAGAGATGGATTTTCTAGTTGCTTCATGGTTTATATGTATTTGCATATTGCTATCAACTAAGCAACTCCCAAAATACTTATTCAATTCATTTTTATTCCAAACATCGTCATAGATGAAGTTCTCCATAGATGGAAACTCATCATCCAAAACATCTACAAATGTTGTCCATTTTTCAATACTTCTATCCAATATCCATACATCTTTAAGGATATTGACAGGAGAACCAGATGACAATCTCCACCTTAGCAATGGCTTAAGGGATTTAAATCCATGAAGGATAATTTTCCAAGTAGATGAACAATTTTTCCTATTGTCATCATGAAAAACTTTATCACCATACTTAGCCCTCAACGATGTGTTGCGAATCGAGTTGGGATTATTGATAAATTTCCATGAAAATTTATCTCTAAGTGGACCAACAGCTGTTACAACAGAATGGATACCTCATCCTCCTTGTTCCAAAGGTTTGCAAAGATTCTTCCACGCCATATAGTGAATACTATAGTTTCCTCCCTGTTTTTTCCATAAGTCCCTGCACATCCTATCAATTTCCTTCAAGATACTTATTGGAACCAAATAATGTGTAGCATAAAAAATCAGAATTGATAAAAATACATATTTGATCAAAACAATTTTTTCAGGTAGTGCAAAAAATTTGTTGCCTCATCCATTTAGTTTGACAACAGCTTTCTCCAAAATATATAAAAAATATGATGAAACAAGTCTTCTTAAAACAACTTTAACACCTAAGAACTTTAGCTCCTTAACTTCCCTGAACTTCAATAATTTTGAAATATCCTTCTTCTTCGACTGAGAAAAAAGAATTGCCGAACATCACAAAAGATTTTTGAAAATTTACACATTGTCCAGTCCACTTGAAATAATTTGAAATAATCTTTCAAATCTTCTTCAAATACTAGGTCTTAGATTTAGAAAAAATACTTATGTCAAAAGCATAAAGTAAATGTGAGATTTTAGGAGATGCCGCAACAATTTTGATACCCAAATGCTCACATTGACTAAATCCATTGGCCAAGAGCTAATAACACAAGAAAAACAAGTACTGGGACAACGGGCAACCTTGCCTAAATCCACTTTTTTCTTCAATCCAATTTGAATTTTTTTCCATTAATAAGAATATAGAACTTTGGATTGACAACACATTACATCAGAAGATTAGAGAAATGACCCGAGAAACCAAAATATTCCAATACTTGTTTCAAAGTTTGTCAAGCCATACTATCATATGCTTGTTCCATGTAAAACTTGATTGCTACCCATCATCTTTTAGATTTAGAAAATCTAAATTTATAAAAAAAAATTGTTGCACTAGAAGAATGTGATCATATAAGCTTCTAACTTTGATAAAAGCTACTTGATTATTCGAAATAAGTTTTTGAAACACTTTAAGCATCTTATTTAATAACACCTTTGGAACAACTTTATAAATGGACAAGCACAAACTTATAGGATGGAAGTTAGAAGGATCTACCGGATTATGAATTTTGGGAATAAGAATTACCCTAGTCTCCTTGCACTTAGAGCACATAGATCCGGTTGAAAAGAATTGAGATATACCCATCCATACGTCCTTACCGATTATTTTCCAATAAGCTTTAAGATAGGAATAAATAATACCATCCAAACCTGGGGAGATGTTCCTCCCAAGGCCTTCAATCACATTTTTCACTTCTTCGTAGGTGAAATCAAAGTTTAAATGTTACAATCTTCTTGACTTAGAGTGAATAATGGTTTGGGCCAATTTTTAAGATCACAAGTTCTACTCCATTTATTGCAAAAGAACTCAAACAAAGTGTCATCTATTCCTTCTTGATCATCCATCATGTCTCCATCCACATTATTCACATGTTTGATGAAATTTCCATTTCTTTTTCCATTAGGAAAGGCATAAAAATAGTTGGAGTTAATATCTCCTTCCTTCAACCATTTTACCTTCACTCTTTATCTCCACCAGGTGTTTAACCTATTGAAACTCGATCACTATGAATTAGGTTGTTAAACCTAAGCTTATGTCCCAGTGGCTAACCAAGAGGGGGGTGAATTGATAATTAAAAATTAATCCCACTTTTTAATTTTTTAAATCAAAAAATAAACTTTAATGAGTTTTATAGAAATAGATTTTTCAACCACAAATTAGAAACACAAATCAACAAAATAAAAAAGCAATAAAAAATAAAAGACATAAGATTTATAGTGGTTCGGTCAAACTTGACCTACATCCACTCCCCGGAGACACTCTCCGAGTATTGCACTAATACCACTAGTGACTCTCCTTTATCACCCACAGCAAGGCGAAGAAGCCTTTACAAAAACTCTTTCCATCACTACCCGGTGCGACAGAGAACTGTTGTCCTTTTACACTAGTCCCAGTATTGGCAGAGAACCATCTTCCTTTTACACTATCCCCATTGTTGGTAGAGAATCGTCATCTTTTTACACTATCCCCAGCATTGGTAGAAAAAACGTCATCCTTTTACACTATCCCCAGTGTTGGCAGAGAATCGTCATCCTTTTACACTCTCTCGGTGTAGGTAGAGAACCCTTCAGCTGTTCACTCTCTCTAAGTGTGGGCAGAGAACTCTTCGGCTCTTCACACTCTCCAAGTGTGGGCAGAGAACCCTTGGGCTGTTCACACTCTCCAAGTGTCGGCAGAGAATCGGATCTCCTTGATAGATCTTCTCACAAGAAATCTAAAAGGAAGAAAGAAAAGAGTGATGTAATCCCAAATCACAAGTAGAGATTCTTACCTTTGAATACCAAGTAAAGCTTCACACTCCAGTAGTAGGAATCTTCCTTCAAACACTCTTACACTCTCTCCTTGACTCTTCTTTCAATAGGCACGAAGATCAGTAGCCAA